CTGTTCTATTTAATTTTCCGTACCTATATTCCTTCGTGTTAAATTCAGAATAACAATCAATAACAGACAGTGCTATCCTATTGTGTAGATCCAATTATGGCAGCAGACAAGCCACTCTTAAGCTTTCCCGATTATTGGGGCGAAATATATACGGAGACTTGGACAACACATAAAAACTTAGCTGAAATCCATTTTTTCATAATAACATCCGTTTATTGGGATCTTCAGATGTAAATTATTCAATTTCTTATAGAACGCTGTATAGAATACTGTTGAATATTTAGTAGGATCAAGAAGGTATAATTATACAGGGTGATTCAGAACTTATCCAAAAAAAAATTCTGGATGTACAGGGGATCCTTACAAATACAATTTTGTAAGAAAAAATCAAAAAGGGCAGTTCGAAAATGATTTAAAAATACACTTCTACATGGCACTGGAAACTGGTCCATTGTAAAACCTGACCTCGCACAATGCGATCGGCATGGCGGTATGATAAAAACAGACTAAAACTTTCGCAAGGAAAGAAATATGTAAATAGAATTTTATCGCACCTATTTTATATCGGCAAATTAAACTGCTTTTGCCTTTATTAATTAATAAAATTAATTTGTGTTTTTAAATAATAAAATCATTTGACATACCCGATGTTACAACAATTGTTCAAAATTTTATCCATAAATGTGTAAACACATTTAGGTCCGTTGTACTCAGTTTCTACGAAATGTTGTCTTGTTTCACCATAACACAAATGCTTCACCATAAATTAAAAAGATATCCGTCAACTCCAAGTACACGCAAACCATTTTTGACACTAACAACTAAAAACCTATTGTAAACACGACAGATAACAGGTAAATATCCCAATGACGATTGCAAAATCCGAATTCGTTATTCGGAGTCGCTGAGGCCACGTGGCGAATGACGCTAGAGACTACAGTTGTCCAGCTATGTAGTGGTTGAATGTACTATAACTTTTTTATATTTTTTTTCTCGGAAACTATAAGGATTTTACAAAAATTTTTTTTTATGATATTGATTCCATTTCTCATGCTGCATCTATTCCCAATTTTTTTTGGATAAGTTGTGAATCACCCTGTATAAATTCAATATTGTGTGAAACATACACAAGAATTATGTCCCATAAACTGTCATTAAAATGCTATTAGTCCAGAATCGTGGAAAAATATGTCATCTGATAAGTACTATAAAGGATTATTAGTGGAAGCAAAAATCTAGATTACCACCATTATTACGTTAAAAAGTAATTTTGAACGCAGTCATCTGCTAAATTATAAAGCATCTAAAATTACATGTTTGGGTTGCTTACTTATATTTTTATAATTTTTTACTTTAGAGAAAATATTTAGTTAAGCGGAGGCAGCTAAGTATAAAAATGCGAGTGTGAGTGTACTTGAGTAACTATAAAATTGAATAATCGTCACTAATTGAATTCTAAATTTTCAAAAATGATTCTATTGCATTTTTTAAAATTGAAACAAGCAATGTAATTAGTAAAATTTAAAAACATCCAGAATATTAATTTTTTTGTAGGGCTTACTATAATTTTCACTTATCTCATTCAAATACATAATATATTAAAAATAAAAATGTTTAAAGCATAGTGTAACTAATAATATATGGAAATCGGTTACACATTTTCTTTCCGTCAATGAAGAAAGCGTTTAAAATTATTTCTAGAAGTGTTAAACTGGAACGCTATAAAATAAATAGTACTGAAGCGGTAAAACGACTACCTCGAATTTTGTGAACCTTAAAATTTTATTTACAAAATTTCCTGAAAACGACTAATGTTGTTATGTCTGTAGTATAGTTTTCAGCTTCAACAAGTTATTTTTGCCGACGAATATTTACGTTCAGTTTCAGTAAATTGAGCAAAAAAATAAGGATTTTGCTAATGAAATGAATGCAAACTGCAAAACTTGTTTATTAAATATCTAAAAAATACTTATAATGGTTGTAATTTTTCAGTTTTTAGAAATTATTTTTAAACGTTAATTTCCAGGAAAGCATAATTTCGCAGAAGTAAAATAAATGAAACACTAAGGAAAATAATTCACTTTAGTTACAGAAAGCATTATAATAGCTACCTTCGCTATGTACGTAGTCGTACTATCTTAGCCAAAGGGAGAAATATTTGAAGATTTGTCACTAAAAATCCCAGAATTTCGACGCCACTAGTATGTTAATTTTGTAATTTTGCATTTTTGTAATTTTGTAATTTTGTAATTTTGTAATTTTGTAATTTTGTAATTTTGTAATTTTGTAATTTTGTAATTTTGTAATTTTGTAATTTTGTAATGGTGTAATTGTGTAATGTTGTAAGCCTCTTCATTCAAGAGAACAAACCAAACAAATTATATTTTTTAATCATGCACTGATAAAATTGTGGAAATTCACACAGGCTTTTTTACATAATATTATTTTTATACATAACATTCTTTTACGTTATATTTTTGCATTTTAAAAGGTATTATTCCTAATTTGTCGATAAAAGTGTGAATTTACACGATCTGTAAATGTAAAACAACTTTTTGCACACAAATTATGCTCAGCCATTTGTTATTATAAAACGGATACTGTAGACAATTTTTTTCTTGAGAATAGGAGCATTTTGTTAAGAATTTAGAAGTAACATTATATTGCTATATCACCTGGTAATGATAAGCTTTTTACCTTAAGTCTACCGGATCACACGATAACTCATCTACTACTTTTCGCTATGTTACGTTATTTTTATTTACATGAAAAGCTCAATCAACTACGTCACAAAGATATCAGAGAGTTGGTGTCAAATATTCACATGTATGTATTAGCAACTAACTCAAGGTTTTATTGTGGGACCGTTTTACTTACCGCCTTATATCTTATTGCTACATATTACATAAATTGAATATTTTAATTTCAAATCAATAATGTTCACACGACGATATTAACAAGGTAAATGTTAAAATAGATGGTGATCATCTTGATTTAAATACTGTGTCAAAAAACATATGACTAATTATAGATACAAATCTTCACTTTGCAAAAAAAGCATTTTTTAACCTAAAATGGATTTATGCAAGTAGATAAACAAACAAACAAAAATAAGTATTAGTTTTATTTCATATTAAGTTTCTGTAAAAGAATCGGATGTTAAACGATTTAAATTAAAGGTTTTTGACCACTGGCCATTTTTTTTGTACTATATAGGGTATTAATGAACTTATGTCAAAAATTTTAAGGTAAGGAGTTAACTGATGTCACAAACTTGTTCGGACGTTTAAGGTCATAGAGAAAAAAGTTAATTAAAAATGTGTTTAAAACTGTTTTGGAACTGCTGAAATACATGTATTTTATCGCGGCGAGTTACAAAAAATTCTGTAAAACTTTTTACGAGCTTGTAGGTTTCTTATGAAGCCGGACTGTATTCGAAAGTCAGTTTGTAATACACTGTTGTAGAGATTGCTGTGCTGTTTTTCGAGAGTGCATTTAATAGCCGTATTTCCAAGTTTTCTTTTGAAAATGGCGCATTTATTACCGTGAATTTTATGCTATGCTCATAATTTATGACGAAGCAAACGAAAATGCCCACAGAGCTTGTCAAATGTACCGTGCAAGATATCCTGAACAACGTGCCCCTGCACCGCGAACATTTCTTGCTGTAGCGTAAAGATTTTTGGACACCGATGAAGTACAACCGCGTCGAGGTCGCCTCGTCGAAGAAGATTCGCATCGTAGCACCAGAAATATCGCACAGCAAATAAAAATTTCATATTCAACGTGTTCAAGCTTTTACTCCTGAGGATTTTCCACTACTAGGTTTCTGGGAATGGTTGCTTCAGGACATGCAAGATATCCTCAATTTACAGCGCAAACAATTGTTACAGATAAAGCATGTTTCAGTCGAAATGGTGTACGTAGCATCCACAACACTCACCACTGGACTATCAAAAATGCTCCCGAAATACGTCGCGGTGCCTTTTTCAGTGAACATGTGGGCCGGTATCGTTAAAGACACTTTAATAGAACCTTTTGAATTGCCTAGACGCTTAGACGATGCTTCATATCTAGATCATTTGCAAAATCGCTTGCCGGAGTTATTGGAAGACGTGCCATTAAATATTCGGCAAAATATGTGGTTATTACCTGACGGAGCCACCACTCACATTTTTCGGAGAGTGCGCGACTTTGTAAACATTACTTTTCTCGATCGCTGGATAGGCCTCGGCAGCCTAGTTAGATGCCCCCCAGTCCTTAGAACTCACCTCTTTAGACTTATTTTTGTGGGGATATGTGAAAAATATAGTGTATTCCAAGTTCGTGACATCGACCAACTACGACATCGTATTGCCGAAGCTTGTAATACGATTCTAGAGGACTTGGCAATGTTGCAACGCGTGCGAACGAATTGGATACGTCGCGCTGAAGCTTGTGTGCAAGCAAATGGTGGGTACATCGAACATCTCCTATGAAAATCAGCAGTTCTCAAAAAGTAGCTCCTTGCAATGTTGAGGTAAGTCAGATTTTGAAATTACATTTTACCCAACACAAATCCGTGTATTTACCTCATTTTGACATAACGGATATGTGGCAAAAATATTTGACATAAGTTCATTAACACCCTTAATAAATGTTATTTATTACCATGTTATTTTTAGATAGTTTTAGTAAGTTAAATGGTAACAAATAATAAAATAAATAATGGTAAATATTATTCTTATATTATTTTGTTTCTATTTTTTGAATTCTTCTTTTTTTTCTATTTTCTCTTTTGATTAATTGATTATTTAAAACAATATCTTTATTTTCTAGTACCACCCATTTCTATTTGCTCGGAGCCCACCACCGCTACTAGTAGAAACGTGGGATTTATGAATTGGACGGTTAAATACTCAATTACAAAAACAGATACACTAGACTGTTAGTCACAAACTAAAACAGTACGTTAGTAAGCAGTAACTTCACACAGCCATAAAAGAGAGTGGAACTTTCACCTGATGACGGGGAATTCTGTTGGCCAGCCAGGTTGGTGCCTGAACCTTCTCCTTGTTTTAACTGCGGAACCGAATGCACTGATAACTTCCCAGGACTAGCGTCCCGTTTGAACAAATAGTCAAAATCCACAGAATGCCTATCGCGTGGCGAGTTCCGCGGACTGGCAGATTTGGCGCGAAAAAACTTGATTACGGGGGATTTTTCGCGTTTTATCGGTTTCTCGACTTTAACCGTCTGAATTTGGTCACTTCTGGTATTTATAATTTCACTACGCGGGATCTCGATTTTTTCTCGAAGGACCGTCGGAAGGTCGAAATAAGATGGCTTTTTTTCGGCAACCGGAGACTTTGGTTTAGGTGTGACCACTTTCGAAGCCTTCTTGTCTTTTTTTCTGTCCGGTCTAACGGGCGTTGGTTCCGGGGTTTTGTCGCGACTCGAAGACGGTCTTAAGAATGATCTAAAGGAACTACTTCTAAATTTGTTTGTCTTTTGGGGTTTGGCGTTAATAGAGTCCGATGAAGTTCTGTCTCTAATATGTGTTTGAGAGGTCGTCGGTTCGGTTTCGACTTTTTCTCGACTGCCGCTGGGCTGACTACGCGACTTGGATGAACTTGAACTATACTTACTGGATTTGCTAGATTTGTTACTATTCGAATTGAAAGCTCGTTCCGGAGTTTTCCCGCGAATTCTTGTGGGTCTTTCAAGAGAACCGTAAAAATCCGGCAGTAGTTTCTGGGGATTCACTGGCTTACTCTTGCTGGACTTATTACCATTTAGATTTAAATTTTGTTCTGACTTCTTTTCGCGGGTTTTTGGTCTTTCGAGGGAACCGATATTACTCGGCCCGGGCTTTGGATTGCAATGCGATTCGCTAACGGACGGTTTTTTGTTTTTCCCGGAATCGGTACTAGTAGACGGCACGGCAGGGTTCGATACTATCTCTGTCGCTTCGAGGGAGGTAGTTCTAATGGGTATATTTGCTCGACTGTCGGGTGAGGGGGACAAGGGTACATAAATAAGGCGACCATACGACAGATAGACTACTTCATCTGCCGGAAATATGACATACATGCTCTAATAGGCAGCCACATTGCGAATCTGCGCTCTGCAGTACAGTGGGAAACGTTTTCAACATTAATGGTCTCATGCGTAACTTTTGTCGTAATTATCACGGTTATATATGCGAAACTTTCTGGCACTGGCACTAAAACTTCACTAACTCGTTGGTGATTTTAGTACCTATAAAACAGAGAAATGGAATCATTAATCGTGGTAGCTGCCGCACATTATTGAAAATAATTGTTATTCAAATACTCAAATGGAAACCAATCAACATAAATTAATACATTAAAAGTATTTATTTAAATTTGTAGCCATTTTATCAAGGCCTACACTTAAAACAATTACAGTTATTCAAATGCATCTCATAAAGAAATAGTTTCTATGTTCATAGCCCAAAAATTCTGTTATATAAATTAAACTCAAAAGCATCAGTAATTGTAAGAAATTCTATTAAAACTTTAATATGGAATTTCTCACAGTGAAAATATTTCTTTCTTTTTTTTTAATAAATAACTTTTTGCGCCTAAAGAATCAGTCCGAGGATTGATTTATAAATTTAATTTTGCCTACCTAGAAATATCTCGCACTGAGGATTTTCTGAATCATATATAAAATATTACTTGGAAAAACTTGCATCCAGCAATTTCAATACAGGGTATACCAGAATAACATGTACAACCGAAGACCACAGATTCGTGGACTCAAAATAGGCAGATTTAGGCTAATTCACCTATATCATATTATGTTATTTAGTTATTACATGTATTATATTTTTCTGTTTTTACCCATTCTGTAAATGGAATTTTCTGTTGGGTGGTGTATAAAATAAAAAAAACAAAAATAAAAATATCTCAAATCACTTCGTTTAGCCGCTAGATGGGCTCAAAGTTCGTGAAAATTTTTTGAATTTTATAAATAACTCGAATAGGTACCTATTATTCAATTTCGACTATGTTTGAAGTGTGGACTTTTGTTTTCAATCTACATATTTTGATGTTATACAGAGTGTTTTTTAAAACTTACAACTCCTACAAAATTGATGTATGGTGATAATGTCCGTTCGTAACTTTTCCCCTTTCGGCCAATAATGACAACTATTTTTTATTTGGTAGGTGATACCATTTGGAAGTTTTTAGGCCTCTTGTAGAATTTTGATTAAATGAGTGGTTTGGGTACAAAAAATATTATTCAAATGTCTACATTATCTTGCCACCCATATTACAATACTTAACAGTGCTAGTAGGTACTGATTTTGTAGGTTAACTGTAATTTCAGTTTGATCTTTAAGTCATTGTACCTGCCAATTCTTAAAGAGTGTTTGCTACGACAACATATACCATACCACATGTTACTTCGATATGGATACACACACATACGACGAATTATTTACAACATGCCTAATTTTATTGAGATAATTAGTAAAAACAATCAAATACAATAAAAAATGCTGGAGATAAAAGTAACAAAGTTAATGTTCTTTAGTACAACTTATTATAAAAACTGTTCAAAATGACCATCGTCTTTTCTACAATAAAGGTTAATTCGACGAAAAAAGTTAAAGGACACCCTTTGCAGTTCTTGATGGCAATTTTTTAAAACATTTTTAGCAATTTGGGTATGCCTCCACAACTCTTCTTCAGTATTAGATGTGGAAGCATACACTGTTGTTTTCAAAGTACCCCAAAGATAATAGTCGCAAGGTGTTAAGTCTGGTGAACGAACAGGCCAGTTAACAGGAACATTATCCTCTCTACCGATCCATCGACGAGGAAATTTTTGATTCAGATACTGCCGCATAATATGCATAAACCGCATGTTAGCTCTGAGCAATAACGGCACACCTTTCAATAAATCAGGTAAAATGTTTTGCAAAAATTCTAAACGAAATTGTCAGGGTCAATAATAATACTATCAATGCGTTGTATTTGATTGTTTTTTCTATTTTTTTAAATAAAATTAGGCACGTTGTAAATCATTATAATTCGTCGTATATGTGTGTGTATCCATACCGAAAAATGAAGTAACAGGTGGTATATCTCATCCTCGTAGACACTCACTAAGAATTGTCAGGTACCTACAAAATCAGTGCCCTACTAACACTTTGTTAACTATTATAATATGGGTGGCACGATAATGTAGATAAAAAAATATTTTTTTGTACCCAAACCGCTCATTTAACCAAAATTCTACAAGAGACTTAAAAACTTCAAACAAAAAATAGTTGTTACTATTGGTCGAAAGAGAAAAAAGTTATAAACGGATATTATCACCATTCATCAATTTTGTAGGAGTTGCAGGTTTTAAAAAACACTCTGTATAACACCAAAATATGTAGATTGAAAGCAAAAGTCCACACCCTAAAAATAATCAAAATCGATTCATACGTATTCGAGTTATTTACAAAATTCAAAAAAATTTTCACAAACTTTGAGGCCATCTAGCAGCCAAACGAAGCTATTTCGGATATACATGAATTAGCCTAGATCTGCCTATTTTCAGTCCTAGAATCTGTGGTCCTCCGTTGTACACGTTATTCTGGGGTATCCTGAACTGGTGAGTTTTTGATGTAATTATCCTATTTCCTAACATTTCTGTAGATAAAGCATTGATTTAGCATATAACAGCATGATTTGAAGCATTTTCTGAAACAAACTGAACTGTGTGTTCTGGTATTTTCAGAATGAAAAATCGTTTCTTACCACTTCACATTTTATTCAAACGGAGTTCATTTGTTTTCTGCTTACTTACTTATTTTTCTATTACCCTAGTAAACAACATAGTATCTGTTATGATACATTTTGGCATATTTCTTCAAGCTTTATATGGCTTTTCCAGTGCTGCTGATTTATGAACTACAAGTTTTGCTACCATAAATTTTAATTTTCGGTGCACTGAGGCATCAATAAAATATTTTCTCTAACTTAGGAAAATAGCACATGTTACAAAGTTGTGACAAATTAAACAGAAATATTGAAGTAACTGACGGGTATCTACATTTACTTCGTTGACCTAGATTAACTCTACTCTCCCTAAATTATAAATACTGAAGTACTTAAATGTTAAATACGAAGTAAAGAATAAATACGTATAAAGTAAATGTTAAATATGACAAATAGTCCATTCCTTATTATTATTTTTTAAAACAGATAAAAATGCCAAATAATATGCTTTGTAGCAATATAAATGCAAAATATAGCTGTAATATTGTGTCAAACTTCAAACAGCAAAAAATATCTATCCAAAACACATTCACGTATTTTTAATATACCAAATTTAGATTATCTCTGAAAAAATAAACTGAAATAATAACTTGTATTGTCATACAAGTTATTATTTCCATTAGTAATAATGCGAGTCTAAACTGATATAGTTCGACAGTTTTATGACTTTATCAAAATCAGAAAATAATTTACATGAAATTCCAATAAAGCAAAAGTCAGTTTTATTGCATACTAACAATTTACTCGTGAATTGAAATTACCGATGGCAAACATTAGCGAAGAGTAAGGAAATAAAAAGGAGTACCTATATTTGAGTGATAGTATTCAGTTTTAGTTTAAATACAGGGTGGCCGAATGAAAACGAAACAGAGCCATTTTCAGGAACTGCGTCAAGATTGTAGAAAAACGCTCAGACCCGTCGATTTTAGATTAAAGGGGGACATTCTTTGCTGGTATTTTTGACTCCGCCACTTTCACCCCCAAGCAAGGGTAAGCATCACCCCAAAATATTTAAATGGCATTGGGGGTTGAGTAATATTTCTTTTGAAAGCTCTTACAATTCTCTTTACAACAGACTTTAAATTTTATAATTCCGCCCAATACTTATTAAGAATTTTGATTTTAAAGTTGAAACTTATGTACAAACAATTAGTAACGGTAAAAATGTCAGTCATTCGAGTTAAGTACGCCAATGGTATAAATTTAGTATTTCTTGCGTTACATTGGTTTTTGGCGATTTGTTATCACTTTCGTAAAAAAAAAACAATTTTGTAAAAAACAGAAATGAATGCAATACACACACAATGAACGTAAAATTAGTGGATTCCAAATTATTTTCTAGTATTATTTGGAAGCGTTGGTTGGTAGTTTATTTAATTGTGTTTTTGAAAATTAAACACTATGGTTTATTCCATTGCGGAAAGGGTAGATATCATTTCGCTTTACTTTATGAACAATAAATGTGCGAATAGAACAGCTCAGCTATTTAATGAACAACATCAAGATCGACATGTCAGGAGGAAGTATGTTCTAGAGTTAGTAAAAAAATTTCAAGAGACAGGGAACGTAGCCAATAAAAAACGAGAAATTGAAAAACCTATAGTTAATGAAGCTAGTGAAGTTGCAGTTTTGGGACAAGTTCATCTTGATCCTACATTAAGTACGAGGCAGCTGGCATCTGTGTCTGGGATCAATCGAACTAGCATACAAACCATTTTGAAGAAGAATAAATTCCATCCATACAAAATACATTTAGTCCAGGAACTTCATGAGGATGATTATGACCGCCGTTTGCAATTTTGCGAAATAATGAGTGAGCGAGCAGGGAACGATCCACAGTTCCTTTTTAACATCTGTTTTTCTGATGAATGCAGTTTTTTCTTGAACGGGACGGTAAATCGTCACAATTGCCGCTATTGGTCCGATTCAAACCCAAGAGTTTTTCACGAGGTGCATACACAGCAACCGGAAAAATTAAATGTATGGGCTGGAATTTTCGGTGACCGGCTGGTGGGTCCTTTTTTTCTACCTGGTAATTTGACTGGCCAAATGTATTTGCAATTACTGGAAGACGCTATTGACCCTGCCTTGACTGATATTATTGAAAATGTTCCAGAGTATGATGAAGATCATTTGATTTTTCAACAGGACGGTGCTCCTCCGCATTATGCGTTAATTGTCCGTCAGTATTTGGACCAACGTTTTCTACGGAATTGGATTGGGAGAAGAGGCAGCATTGAGTGGCCTCCACGATCACCGGATTTATCGCCCCTTGATTTCTTTTTGTGGGGATACCTAAAAAGTAAAATCTATAAAACACAGCCAGCGTCGCTGGAAGATTTGCGTCAAAGAATCGTCGACGAATGCCGTCGAATCACTCCGGAAATGCTTCGGAATGTGCGCGAACGTTTCGAACAAAATCTTTATTCTTGTATGGAAGCGGGCGGTCATCAGTTT